CATCTGAGCAGGTGCATGTCTCAGAGGGGCCCAGAAAAGCCCCTCTCGTGTTGTCAGCCTGCTGGGAAGGGCTGAGGGGTGGCGGGGACAGAGAAGGGAGGCACCACGCAGGGCAGGACTGGGGTCCCTTCTGTCGGGGAGAGTCTGGCTCTGCAGCCCGGACTGGAACAGGTTGGGCAACCATATCCGGGAGTGGGGATCCAGATTGCTGGTGCTGGTTGCCTGCAGCTGCACTGGAGCCCTGGCTGTTTGCTGGGAGCGTTTAGTCCAGCTTTACGCTGTTGCTTGAAGGTCTGACTCCACTGTGAACCTGGTCAGAGATTTCCTTGTGGAGAGCCAGGTTGTGCCAGAGGTGGAGAAGACAAAAGGAGCAGCCTTGCCTCAGGAAGTGCTGGAGCCCAAAAGGCACAGTAGCTCATGGGGAAAGACTCCCAAACTGCAGGAGTATACTGAGGTGGGCTTTCCTGTTAGGAGCAACATGCTCTGTCCCATGGCTTGGACGGCAGTGGGTGAAGTCATTACAGCCTCCTGGGTTGGCAGATTCCTCTTTCAGATCTAGTCTTGGCTCTTACATACCCTGGTGCTGACAATGAGGGAACCCACAGTGACTGAATACTCTGTTTTCGTGCTTCAGGTTGTAAAGAATTTGCTTTTTGTGGCCAAAGTTGTTTACTTGCTAGCCCCTGCCTCAGAAGAAGGTGAAGAGGCTGAAGGAGAACACAGCTGTGAAGTGGAAGAGCAGGAGGCCTCAGAAGATGAGGAAGAGAAAGACATTTCTGCTCAAGGAGAGGCAGAAAGAGAGGACACAGAAGAGAAAGGCCAGCCAGCCACATTGCTGTGGTTAATGAAGAAGCTCTCTCTCATGGCAAAGCGAGAAGCAGCATATTCCCCTAAGGTGCCTTTAAAGGTAAGAACAGGGTTAGACCGACTGCTTTTGATGTGGTAGACACTTCCACAGGAGAGTGTTGCTCTGGCTCTTTGCTTCCAGGGGACCAGCTGCAGAGGGTGCTGGGAGCTGGCACTGAAGCAAGGATTAGTAGGTGCCAAAGAAACAAGCATTTCAGTTTGGGATTCTCAGGAAAGGCTTGTGCCACTCTGCCTCTCCTTGCTGATGCTTCCAGCCTTCTTGTGGGGTGGTGGAAGGGTGGTAAACCCCCAGGCAGCAAGCTGAAGGGGACAGAGCACTGCCTTTGAAAGCCCAAGAGTGCTAAGTTGATGCAGGCGGGGGAATGGCAGTGTGGAGTTACTTGCTAGGAGAAGGGGAGGGCGTGGGAGAGTGTGAGGAAAAGCACTGTGGTTCCCCGTGGTGCACAGTTGGAGAGGTTGAGCTTTCATGTCTTCAGCTGCCTCGGTAGAGGACAGTGAGAACAAGCCCGTTGTTCAAACCGTTAACAGCTGCCAATGCAGCGGAGTCACAGCTCACACACATTTACTGATCCCGTGGGGTTGTGTCTCATCTAAAGGCTGTACTTGGCTGCAGTAAGAGCTTGTAACAGCAGTGAGTTTCTGACTCAGGTGTCTGAAACCATGCCTTGTACATTGAACAGTGATGCGCAGCCCTCCTGCAGCAGTTCAGGTAGACACTGTCCTTCCAACCTTCCTTACTTCATGTCCCACACGCTCATTTTCAGAGAAGCTGCATCTTTAAGTTCCTGGGAGCAGTCTCGGTGGATCTGGGGAAAGACAGGATCAAGCCGTACCTTCCAACAATTCTCACCCCTCTGTACAGGGAGCTGAACAGCACCTATGCGGAGCAAGGTAAGTGATTACGGCATAGATGCCGTAATCAGTGAATTTCACCTGCTTGTAGTCTAACTAAAGTATCAGGAAAGGAGGAGAGTGTATGATAGCTGAAAAAAAAATCTATGTGTTGACAAAGACTGGAATAAAGTTAGGCAGGCTCCTGCATGCAAGTGAGTAAAGCCTGAGTCTGTGATGTAGTGGAAAAAGCTCAGTACTCGTAGGTGGACTCATGGTGGCAGACTCGTGGAGTCCTTGCTGAAGAGAGGAACGGAGCGTGGCTCTTCAGGAAGTCAGAACAAGACTGTTGCCAAGTGTCATTATTTTTTAATTGCCATGTTAGATCTGCTGTGAGGCTTCGGGGCATGAAGATCCATGCCCTGTGGTTAAAAGTGTGTTTCGGTTTTAATGTAAACCACCGTATCTTTTATGGTAGCTTGTGTTACAGTAGAGCAAGGGACTGTACAAGTTGGAATTGCCAGTTCAGTGGTGGTCTTCCCCAAGCTCCCCCTTTTGAAATAAGAGAAAATGACCTTTAGTGTGTGGCACATGTGCACAGTGACTGAAAGAAAGGAACCTTCACAGGCAGGGGAAGAGGGCTGTGTGCGGGCAGGCGTACGCCTGCGGAACGGTGCACAGAGCTTCTCCCTTCCTCCTGAATGAGTCCAGGTTGCTCTGTCCTGCTAGACGCTACCTGAGCAACAACACTCGTTTCTCCCTGGAGATCCATGTTTGTTTAAAAGATCTTAAGAAGTTGCGCCTGGTGGGGGAAAGACAAACCAACTTCCCATTTTAACACAAGGGACTCTTGGCTTAGGGGCAAGACACTGGTGTTTAGGTAGTTCATGAAAATGTGTTAAGTCCAGCAAAATCCAATGTCAGGAAAAGAACAGACAACAAACCAAAAAAAAGATTACTGTTAATCTGTGGTTTGTATATGCCATGAAAATTTAGTGTGGAGCACTGGGTCCCCACATCTCAGAAAGGATACAGGAGAACCGAAAAAACTTGGAGGAATGCAGTAACAGTGTTCTAGGTAAGGAACAGCTGCCTTGGCTACCATTTTTTTTTTAGCTAGGCAAGTAAGAAGAGATTTGGAAAAGATATGGTAGAAATTGACAGTATTGTGAGTGGATAAAGATCAACTTTTTGCTTTTTCCACCAGCACAAGAAGCAGGAGCCTTCAAATGATTTTTCAGAGTAATTGCAGAGATGGTTTTTCACATGATGGGGGATGTAGACCCAGGGAACTTGTCACTGAAGGATGTTGTGGAGGCGAGCAGCTTACACGAGCTTCTCTGGAGGCTGTACAAGCACATGGAAGAGGGATCTGTTGGAAGACTGAGGGAAACATTTGCCCTGCTCTCACTTTTCCCTTAGCATCTCTTTGTGGCCTTCCCCCCCCAATATATTTTTTTTCAGTGATTGTAGTTAATACATCATTGTAATTAACCAGTGATCCTAACCATTCAGCCAGGCCTTACTGTGCATACTGGGCAGAGATGCTGACTGACAAGGCTGGAATCATTTTTATTTCCAACAAAGCCTATTCCAGAAGAGCCCTGGTGGCTATATACTTTTAATAACCTCTAGGATTCCATTATCCTTTTGAAAAACACTCTTGCTTCTCAGAAACATTATTTTTTGTTTGCCTGTGTGAAGGGCCCCTTGTGGTCCTCTGGGAAGGCTGGTGAAGAACCAGCAGATTTCACAAGCGTCCTTGCTCTGGTCTCTACAGGATATTGGGCAAGACAAATCAGTACAGTCATCTTTCAGTAAAGAAAGGGGAATCCCTACTGGGCTCTTGGCTTTCATTCCATATGCTGAAAAGATTAAGCAAGTTCATTTTGTTTTATTAGATCCAACACTGAAGAACCTCTCCCAAGAAATCATAGAACTGCTCAAGAAGTTAGTTGGACTGGAGGCTTTTTCGCTTGCCTTTTCTTCTGTGCAGAAACAGGCCAATCGGAAAAGAGCCATGAGGAAAAAGCAGAGGGCGTTGCAGGTAAGATTCTGCTTTCTCTTCTGGGAAAAAGAAATAGGGTTTCTCTGAAGGCTTGAGAGCTGACTGGGAAGGTGAGCTTGAGGAAGAACTTCATCCAGAATTGGGACAGTTTCCTTGTTTCACTTCCGAAACTCCACAAGAAACTGTTTTAAGCTCAGCCCCTTGGGCAGGTTCTGGCTGACAGTGCACTGTGCTTTCCGGCTTGCCTGAAGAGTGGTGGTAAACTGGGGCAGAGCAGCCGGAATCCCCTCAGTGTTGAGGAGCCTGAGAAAACCTGTGCGTTGTCTTACCAGTCACCAGTTTCTTAGGAAGTACCTGATGTTTACAGGGACAGTTGTTTGTTTAGCTGCAACAAACAAATGTGTTCTTTTTCACTAGACTGTAGCAAACCCTGACATTGCTGCAAGGAGGAAGCTGAAGAGACATAAGAATAAAGCAGAAACCAGGAAGAGAAAAATAGAATCCCTGCGCCCTACCTACAAGGCCAAGAGACCTCGAAGTCATGCAGTGAAAGATTTAGCAATGGTGGAATGAAAAGGCTTTTTCCTTCCTCGAGGATTAATTTATAAAGAGTAATTTCAAGCTAAAGAACTACTGTTTTTAAAAGAAAAAGTATTTACATATTTTAATTGTATTTATTGGTATTTTTTCATCTCCTCTTTGTCATCTAGGATCTTAACTAAAAGCTTTTCAATTTGTGTATTTACCACAGCATGTACAGATGAATGGACAACCACCATGATCTTTTATATAAAATTTTACTTCATTTTTAAAAGATAGGTTATGTGATGACTGCGTTCATGCCTGTGCACATCCTAGCTCCTGGAGAGAAAACAATCTGCCTCATGACTTTGATTCGTCTTTCAGTTTCTGCAGCTATATTGAGCGACTTAACTGTCATTTCTGGCCAAGCTGAGAGTACAGGAATAACAGCTTATGAAGGTGGAAGTTAAATCCAGATTGTGGCCCTGGCACATCAGGGCTGTAGGTGGCTATTGAAGACATTTATTTTCCTCTCAGAAAACCAACGCTATGTTAACAGCTAGGGCTACGCTAATTATCTATCTCTGTTGCTGTCCTTCACTCTACACTCTAACAGTACATCTGTGCTGAAGGATTCTGAGGTATAACAGCAGCAGCTTCAGGAGACTTCCTTAACTGTTCAGCTACATGGCTGTTTGTTGGTTAGAACTGGCAGCAGCTGGACTTGTTTCTGTAAGTGAGCAGCCTTTAGCAAAGCAACACACATGAGTACAGCTGACAGTTCCAGATTTTATTAGTGTTTTAATTACATGAATATTATAGCCACTCAAACTTAAAACCACCAAAGGGGGGGGAGGGACACACACAAAAACCCCTTTCCCAGCCAGTAAGACTTTTATACAAATTAATGTAAGTACATCTTTTAAACAGAAAGAAAGAAATGGAATATCATACTGTACACAGACATTCACTTGGTTCAGTTTTACAATCAAGAGAGGCATCCATGTTACAGGAGTCAAACTCAAATCTGTCCTATTTACAAGCATTTGTGGCCTGAAAATACCTGTCTGTAGAAAGAAGGATGGTTGTTGGATATAGCTGAAACTTCTTTGCAGCAGTCAGCTTTGTATCACTGCCTGCTCTTCAAGGCCTCCACCAACCTAGGAAAAAGGTTAAGTCACTTTACTGGAAAGTCATTTCAATTATGTTGAAATACTTTCAGGAGAAAGCTACTCTTTCTTCTAATGTGGACTCTTGTCTTTTCTGTCAGACAGACCTTCTACCGATCCAGTCTTCAAAAAAAACCCCAAAAAAACTAAAACCTGTAACAGCTGTTTTTCTAATGAAGGTAGCATAACAAGACTGTTGTTACTCACCACTCCATTGCTTCATCAAGCCCTGTGCCTTTAGTCGCAGAGGTTTTGAATATCTGCCATTTTCGGTCCTTCAAAGCCGGTAAGCCAAGCGCGTTTGCCATTTCTGTGGGAGTCATGGCCTGTTCCATGTCCTGCTTATTTGCAAACACCACCAAAATGGCTTTCTTCAACTCTTCTTCCTAAAAAACCCAAGCAGAATCATACAGGTTGTTGCAGAGACTTTTATTGAATTTATTTAAGCAGAAAAAATCCATAGAATGAAAAGAAGCTTCAGCAGCTCTCATAATGATTTTCAGTTTTCTGATTTTTGTTCTTTACAAAATTCTTCAGTGAAAGAATGGTACTTACTTTCAATTCCAGCACAATACCACATAGGAGCAATTTCAAAATATGGCTATTTATGCTTGTTATATTATGAAACAAGCTGGTAGTTGGATTTAACAAGGCATATCAAAAAACTTGCAGGAATTCAGGAATTTGGGGGGGTGGAGGGGGTGAGTTTTGCTCAGCTCATCTTCTTGCTCTTATTACCCTGTTTCTACATATGTATGTTCTTCAGCTTCAGAACACACACAGTAGGATACTAATTACTGTTAATCCTTCAGGGCCTGACTTTGCCACTGCTGAAGTACTGAGCAGCTGTCCTTGCCAACAGATAAATTTTCACATGACCAAAAGGCTACAGACAAATGCAGACAATGCTGCACAAAACCGTGAAACATCTGCAGCATAGTTAGTGTTTTTCAGTCAGAAGTGTTGCACAGGCCTATTCTAAGGGCTGAAGTTTCAAAAGTGAAGTTGAGCTTCGCTTGATTAACTGAATCAATATCACGTTTGCTCCAAAAAAAATTTTCAATTTCTGTTCTACTGATACAATGTCATCCTTGTTTTCTTACCTCTAACATAGCAACAAGCTCTGATTTTGAAGTGCCAATTCTGTCTCGATCACAGCTGTCCACTACATAAATGACTGCGTCTGTATTTGAGTAGTAACACCGCCAATAGGGCCTGCAGAAGAAAGATAAGTTCCAGTCATATAATTTGCACTTTTAGCAGTGCTTTTTAGCCAGATAATGAAAACCAGATCACCCAGAGGAAGTAAAAACTGTCTTTGGGGTGAAAGGCCCCAGGAAGCAAGAAGATATCCTCAAGAGGCTACAAAAAGGAACAGACAGTACAAATACTTTCAATAGCAGAAAAAACCAAACCAACAAGCAGCTTGAAAAGAGGGGAGGATAGAAGTGCTGGGGACAGATTCATTTGGGACTCAGCCTGCAGGACATCAGGTCCATAACTGAGGGACAACGAAACAAAAAGTTTAAATGCAAGCTTCTGCCATAGATAAACATGGTCACCGAAGTACAAACAGAGAAATCTTAAATGACTAATTTATACAGGCAAGTAATCAAAAAGGATCAAAAAACCCCACCTTTTTCAGAATTACCTTTCTTGCTGAAGCTGAAAACAGAAGGAACCTGCACCTTACTAACTGCACCTTACTACCTAGCATGCAGAAAGGAATCACAAAGAGATCATACAGGGCTACTGAAGAGATCACAGCAATTATGCATATAATGACTCATTACAAAACTTGCAAAGCTAAATTCAACCTAATACCTAAATTCAACTTCCTAGCTTTGCATTCTTAAGAATACTTAAGTATCTTTTTAGGTTCCCACCACTTCCTTCTGTCTCAAAATGCTACACAATTGCCTACTACACAAGCAAGCTCATTTTGCAAAGCAAAACTGCATACAGGTGAAAACAGCCACTTGTTTCTTTCTAATCTGTAGTCCAAAACAGGTTTTACTAACTGAATTCTGTCAGATCAAAGTGCTCTTCTGATGCTGGGCTGTTTTTAAAACTTAACCAATTTTCCAAAGGGCCAGCTATGAGAATTCCAAGAACTTAGCACTTTTTAGAGAATTTTAATTGTATCTTTTAAAAGAGATCCATTACCTTATGCTTGTCTGTCCTCCCAAGTCCCAAACTTGAAATTTCAGATTCTTGTAAGTCACTGTCTCAACATTGAAGCCAATGGCTGAAACAAAGTTAAACAATTTCACTGTTGGCGATTTTTCTTTAGATTTCTGAAGAACATTACAGCACTTACTTACTTAGTTTAAAATTTTCAGACCTGAAAATTCTCTGTTGCTACATAATGAAGTTCATGCCCTTTGCGAAGTTAGCCCAACAAACATTTATGGCTCAAAATAATGCAGTAAGTTTTTTCTTTGAATGATAAAAACCACATTATAAACATACTGTAGATTTGTAACAAATGCTAAGGTTGTTAAAAATCAACAGAAGCCTGCCTGAACTTACCAAAAGAAACAGAGCAAGGGTTAAAGGAATGGCCTGTTTTGATAATCAAGTACCTAACTGACAGCAATAAAACACTAAGGAACATGTCCTTCCTGTCAACACCAGATCTGCGCTCTTGTAAGACCACAGCAGAACCAACTTCTCTGCAGAAGACTTGACGCTGTGGTATGTGGAAGATGGCAATAAGGTTACAGCACATCACGTATGTCATTCCTTCTCCTGCCGACCCAGAGAAACACAACACAGGGAAGTGAATGATGGATGCAAACTGCCTAAAATTTATGGAGGCTGCAATAAGCAAAACCCTAGGGCACAAGGATTACGGCAGAGTAAACTGCTGGCTTCTTTTAAAAGGTAAGAAAGACCTGACCAAAGTCAGTTTATCGTGGCCATTCAGGAGGAACCCAAGAGACATGACGGGGACTCAAAAGCCAAGTGTCCCTTGTCCTTCACGTTACACAGAGCGATCCTGGCCAGACCACTTTGGCACACGCATCTGGGTGTTCGCAATAGGTGAGTATGGCTGCATAAACATTGAGACAATTGGTGAAACCAGTTCCATTTTTTAAATAAGCATCATCTCCTTCCATGAGATCTCACATTGAGTTTTGCTACACCTTCTACATAATGTAAAGTTAAACCACCTGATTTCTTCTTCTCTGCATTAAACAGAAATGTTTACATAATGAACTGAAGACCCTTGTCAAAAAAAAAGAAATTAAATAGGTATGACTCACTGACATCATCCTATGTAAATATTTTTTTGTACAGTAATAATGATCTCTGGAGTTCACATTATAGCTATATTTAGACACAAAAGACTTATATAGTCAACAGTTACCATTTAACCTATCAAGAAAAGCCTGCCAAATCATGGTAACAATCTTAAGGTCAAATATTTTTTGCATTCAGCAGGGCAGCATAAGATATTCCTTTATGCAGTACTCCTATAGCACACTGTAATACTGTTATGCAAGAAAGTTCTTAAATACAACAGTGCAAGGCTCCCACAACGTAAGGTCCTTTTGTTTACGACAGAAGTGTGTAGCGAGTTCAGCTGACAAAGCTCACATGTTAGAGTTACAGGCAAATCGACTTCTTTCACTAAGGGACTTATCACTTACTTGGAATGGTGGTAACAACTTCTCCAACTTGTAACCTGTAGAGAATGGTTGTTTTTCCTGCTCCGTCCAGTCCCAGGATGAGAATCCTCATCTCTCGAGTTCCAAACAAACTGGAAAAGATGGTGGAGAAAAAGCCCCCTACAAAAATCAGAACAGAAAGATGTTTTAGTGTCAGCTAATAATATGGAGGATATGGAAAGGCAGACAGATCGACCTCATTTCTTACTGAGCAGCAATATGTTGCTTTTCTCCAGGGAAAACAGACAAGTTCAGGTTGTGGCCCAGCTATCTGTGTGCTGAACCACGTTGTATTTTCCTGGTTTTATGCTGCTATTTTATCGTGGCTCAATCCAGCAAAATCATGTTGCAGCAGCATCAAGCTTCCTCATTGTGGTTAGGATTTTTTTTTTCCTTTTCTCTCATTTACCAAAATCTGAGCCAACTTCTTTTTTGTTTGTATTGGACTCTATCTTTTCAATGCAAGGGACTATACAAGGACATGCTGAAGCCTGAAAGAATTCTTCCAGATGTTTATGGTCTCCCACAGGACCATCCACTTCTTTTTTCTTAAAATGAAGTATAAATCAGTAGGTACATGTCAAATCACAGTCCGTTACAAACTATGAAGCTGCACTAAATTAAGTACGTTAATGCTACAGAGAAGTCTAGGAGCTGCCCCCCCGCCTTTTTTTTTTGAAAACTGGCTTGCCCCAACATCTCATTTATCCTTTAAATGCACATAAAAGTGCTTGTGGCCAGACTAATACCTGATTTGTGCCTATTAGATGTTTAAGTGTGGAAAGAATACCAACATTCTAAGCCAGTAACAATGATATTTTTTCCAATGGTTTTTATAACAAATATATCTAATACTAAATAATAATTTTGCAAATCCACCTAAACCCTGTAAAAGGTAATGAAACACCACGTGAACTAGAATCACATTTGAAAAACGTATTAGAGAAGATTTGCAACCAAAATCTTATTGAAAGAGGTGTTGATAAAAATTATTGCCTGTCTGCCTTTCTAGGCATCTGTGATGCCTTTCCAGGGAAAGGAGGGACCGGTGAGCTGCGTGCTTATGCATAAGGAGGAATTCAAATAGATAACAGGTTGCTTTACTTCTTTTAAGCCCATCCCATCCCAGAAGCCAAGCACACTACAGACCTGGAAGACAAAGGGAAGGTGGAAGGGACCAGGTGTTGCTGGTTTGCAGAGTGCTGCGCAGGGCACTGTTCACTGTGAGACAGGCACATAACCTTTACAGAACTGAGCTGCAAAAGGGATTTCAACAGCCACATTTCAAGTAGAAGGGTACTGTGTGATCCATGGAGGCCTAAGAGACGGTAACTCTTTCCTCTCAGTCAGTAACTCTGCTTACTGCCAGACACCTCCCATTCCCTCTTTTTATATTCCAATATGCTTTTCCTACATGTCCTTGTTTTGGCTAGGATAGAGCGGATTTTCTTCCTAGTAGCTGGTACAGTGTTATGTCTTGGATTCAGTATGAGAAGAATGTCGATAACACACTGATGTTTTCATCAGCGTTCCAGTGTTTACAACAAGTCAAGGATTTTTCAGCTTCTGATGCCCAGCCAGCAAGGTGGCTGGAGGGGCACGAGAATTTGGGAGGGGACACAGCCAGGACAGCTGACCCAAAGTGGCCAAAAGGGTATTCCATACCATGTGATGTCATGCCCAGTATATAAACTGGGGGGAGTTGGTTGGGGGGGGATCGCTGCTCGGGAACTAACTGGGCATCGGTCGTTGAGTGGCGAGCAATTGCATTGTGCATCGCTTGTTTCGTACATTCCAATCCTTTTATTGTTATTGTCATTTTATTACGGTTCCCGTTATTACTTTCCTCCTTTCTGCCCCACGAGGCCGTTCTTCTCTCAGCCCACGAGTTTCACCCTTTCCCCTCCGCTCTCTCCCACCGAGGGGGTGGCGGGGGGGCCGCCTGGCGCCGACTTTCTGTCGGGGGCGACGCTGCCTCAGACACAGCCTCCCCCCGGGCCCCACCCTCCCCGTCCGTCCCCTAAACCCCCTGACACCGCCCCCCCCCTTCATCCCCTCACGGCTCCACAGGCCGCCGGCGGGAAAGGGC